CATTGTGAGGATGGTCAGGACCGGGCAGTGCTTCCTGCTGTGGTGCACAGGGCTCTACTAGCTGGAACAGACTTGATGGCACCTAACGTCACCACCACCACCTCCACCACCACTGCCACCATCACCACCACCACCACCACCACCACCTCCACCACCATCACCACCACCACCAGCACCTCCACCACCATCACCACCACCACCACCATCACCACTACCACCAGCATCTCCACCACCATCACCACCACCTCCACCACCACCACCACCAAAGAGACAACCTGTTGCCCTGGAGGCGATCCTGACTCCTAGAGACCCAGTCTTGCATGATGCAGATATAAGAACTGTCCCCACAGAATGTAAATCTTCACAGCAGCAGATCGCCCAACTTTCTCCCAGGAGCAACCACTGAGCTTGAACTGCAACATTCTGTTAGCAGCGAAGTGCTTAAGCACTGCATTCCCAGGAATCCTGGCCAAAAAGTCAGGGTCATTGTACTTCTTATCAGAAGAGCTTCAAATCTTAGCTTTATATACAGAATGACTTACTGGAGAATCCTCAGACATTAATTTAGTCTTAAGCCAGCAAGAGCAGTTTCATATCAATTTAGGTTTGTCTGAATTTAAATGAAAAAGCTGAGGTTGCACAGTGGTCTAAGTGCTCAGCTGCTAACCAAGAGGCTGGGGTTCAAACCCAACCATTGCATAGGCGACAGATGTCGCAGTCTGCTCTCTACATATTACAGCCTTGGAAACCCAAGGGGGCAGTTCTACTCTGTCCTGTAGGGTCCCTGCGTGGGAATCAGCTCAACAGCAGTGAGCAGTGGGTTTGGGGTTTGGAGTTTCTAATGAAGGTCCCTCTTAATTGTCCTTTTGAAGTGAACGAGAAATTAGAAAAAAAGAAAGCTGAGAAAAAAGAAGATGCTTCCGTGGCTGAGACGCCCGCTGTTTCTCCAGCATCTGCTCCAGAGCCTGAAAGAGAGAAAGAAATTGCTCCTCATGGAGAGACTCTAAAACCTCCTTCTGCAAAAGGAAAGCCACAATCAGGTGACTGACAGAATGCTTGCTAATCCCATTTGCCAGTTTCTTATTTCCTCATAGAGTTGAAGTACACATTATAGTGCCATCATATTAGACTTCAGACAGCTGCTAACATAGAAAGCAAGGCTATTCATCCAGAGGAGTTGGGAAAAGACCTCCCAGTAATACAGAAATTAGCTGTCCCAAAGCCTCCAGCACTTTGCTGGTGGGGAGGGAAGGTGGTGTTGCCACACACTCAGACCTACCAGTCAGCACACGAGCCCGCATGGGAAGGTGCGGAGAGTAGCAAGAAATGTCTCAAAGCAGAATGAGAGGACATGCGTCTGTTTGCTAAATCGTAGGGCTATATTCTTGTAACAAAGGAGAGCGTCTTAATAAAATGAGAATTAGCATAGTCATTGCCCACAACAATGAGGAAGAAAACCAGCAAGCCTCCTGGAGACTCGAATTCATAACGTGATTATAAATCTTTAGTGTTCTGTCAAGGTAAGAAATAGGAAACAAGGCACTAACTCTGAGTAAAATGGTACAGGTATGGCTATATGGATCAAGAATCTGTGTAGAGAATATACTTTTAGCTTACCGTCTATACTCGAGTATAAGCCAAGTTTTTCAGCACATTTTTTATGCCGTTTTTGTGGTAAAATTAGATGCCTCAGCAAATATTCGGGTCGCCTTATATGCGAGTATCTATGGTAGGTCCTTTCTAAATCTTTAAGCCCTGAGGACTTTGAGCATGGCACTAAGGGATGAAAATTGAATGTTGTTACTTAAAAGTACAGTCTCAACTGTCGTGAAGCATGCTATCGATGGACTGTCGGTGCCAGTTGCTATAGCTATGAAACAGATGGCCTCTCACTTCTGGTTGCATCTTTATAGGCCACTGGTGTTCTTGTAGCAGGTCGGGATTGTACTTCCATGCTCCATAATCTTTCTGTCTTATTTGGAGTGGATCTACATTTTTTTTCCTCGTAAATCATTTTATTGCTTGCCGTTTCTACGAGCAGTAAAGTGCCCCAGTTATTGATAGTTTTGCTAACGCATGACACTTTCAAGTTTCTCAGTTTTACACATTCCAGTGGGCATTTTGGCTGTGACTAATAAGATTTGTCATATGAAAATATGTTTATTGGTCATTCATAT